GAAATCGCTAAAACTGCATATATATAATTAAGATCTCCGAATTGGCCATTTATTTATTTCATGTAAGCACAGGTATTGGACATGGTCAACAATCCGCACTACCTACATAGGATGATGGTTCTGCGTGCAATATCTCTCATGGCTCCTGTAATGGGGTCGGAAATCACATGCTCCAAGTTTCTTCCTGTGGTGGTTGAAGCATCAAAAGACAGGTAAGATAGAGGACTTTTGGCAAACTCCTTTAAAAACTCATCTTAGTTTTAAATTTAACTCGTTGTACGTCTCTAATCTCTGCAGAGTTCCAAACATCAAATTCAATGTCGCCAAACTTCTGCAATCGCTCATCCCCATAGTCGACCAATCAGTAAGATGAATAAGAAGCATTCCTGAGTTGAGTCGAAAAGACGTAATGGAGATTGTTACTTAAATGTTTTTGCTGTGTTGTAGGTGGTGGACAAAACAATCCGTCAGTGTTTGGTGGACCTGAGCGAGGACCCTGATGTTGATGTTCGTTATTTTGCAAACCAAGCGCTGCACTCAATCGAGGGTACCGCAGTGGCGCAATCCTGATTTTTTTTAAAATGTTGTTAGTGATATATAATCTTTAATCCTGAATTTTTTTTCATATGTATTATGGCTAAGTTAAGTTTTCTAATATTCGGTCCTTTATGCTATTTCTTTGGTTTTGTTTGTGTAAACACCATTTCGGTTGCTGACTTATACATTGTTAGTAAAATTGTATTCCCTTTGGGGGCTTTGTTCCATTTTCTTGTGTTCCAAGACTTGTTTCCATTATTTTCATCTTCTAGTTTACTTCTAACCTCGTGGCGATTGGGCTTTGCCAATGGATCTTGAAACTAGAACTACAAGTGATAATCTGAATTATTTAGCAAAGGAAAAAAAAAGTGATAATCTGAATTCTATTTAGACAATTATTACACTTATGTTATCTTGCATGTAAGTAATTTACAACAGTTTTGAGGTTTATCTTTATACAGTATGTTTATTTCATAAGTTCTTTAGAGCATGTTTACTCATGATTTTTTGTGGGTTTCCGCCCATTAAATAATATTAAAAAGAATATTTTGGGCTGAATTTGGCTTGAAACGGCTCATTGCTCTGAGTCTAGTGGATCGGTTCGACTGGGACACGTGGCACACTATTATTGGGCCGAAATAGAAAATAATCAGGTCAGTTTGGGGGAGAGGAAAAATA